AAAAATGAAATAGCATGCCTTAAGGTTTCTCAGCTATTTATTGACAGAGCTGACTACGAACCACCTATCCTAAGTCATGTAGATTTATTTTGTACTTTTCCATTTATTTATTTATTTTTGAGATAGGGTCTTGCTCTGCTGCCCAGGCTAGAGTGCAGTGGTGTCATCACAGTTCACTACAAGCTCAAACTCTTGAGCTCAAATGATCCTCCTGCCTCAGCCTCCTAAGTAGTTGGGACTACAGGTGCATGCCACCACGCCCAGCTAAGTCTTATTTTTTCTAGAGACAAGGTTTTGCTATGTTGCTCAGGCTGGTCTCAACTCCTGGCCTCAAGGGATCCTCCCACCTTGACCTCCCAAAGTGCTAGGATTACAGGTGTGAGCTACCGCACCCAGCCTACTTTCTCATTTAAATAGCTCAAAGAACTTTCACTTAGCACTGTTAGCTCTCATCTAGCATTTTGGAAAGAAGAGTAAGGACTGACTTTATATTGCACCACTGATCAGGATTGCATACAGTACACAGTGAGGGTCAAATAAATATTTATTAAATGATGGTCAGATAATGGCAGAGCCAAAACTCAAAATCATGGCCATGGCTACAATTGTTTTAGTTAATCATGCTGCCTTCTTTAATACTAAAACAAATGCTGTAAAATGAAAGTTATTCAAACCTGAATTTTTCTTGACACGTGGATTATATCCATACTTCTGGAAAACCTCTCTTATTTTTATAATATCCATTGAATTTTTTTCCATCAATATTTTTGTTGCTTTTATGAAACCAATGCTTTCTTGACTTTCCAATCTTGCTTTATCAAGAAGAATATTAACATCATCCTTTTACGAGGAAAGAAAGTACATTATAATTTCTCTAAATTCTGACTAAGTCTATTTAGGTTAAAAAAATTACCACAGAAAAATGATAAATTAATATTGTAGGAGTGCTACCTTTAGAGTCTGGACTTCTGAATGAAGGTCATGTAAAATTCTCACTGGACAATCTTCAAAATCTTCAATATGAATATTGAGAGGTAAAAAGTCCAATAAATGTGAGGACAAGGAAGAAAAAGAATAGAAAATTTCGTATATAGTCATGTGCCACATAATGACATTTTGGTCAAGGATCGAACACATATATGATGGTGGTCCCATAGGATTATAATACCATATTTTTACTGTACCTTTTCTGTTTGGATATGTCTACACAATAACTTACCAATGTGTTCCAATTGCCTACAGTATTCAGTATAGTAACATAATAGGCTATACCATATAGTCTAGGTGTGCATTAGGCTATACCACCTAGGTTTGTGTAAATGCTCTATGATGTCTGCACAAAGACGAAATTGCCTGTTTTTCTATTCCCATTGTTAAGCGACACACGACTATTCAACATAAAGCAAACAAATCATAGTATATTGTCTGATGAACTTTATAAAGTGAACACACCTGCACAACCAGCCCTCAGTTCAAGAAACAGGAAAGGAGAGAGAACAAAACATTATGAGAACTCTAAAGCCCTTTTATAGTCTCTCCTCTCCTCAAGGGTAAACATTACCCTGATTTCTAACAGCATGGAGTAGTTTTGCTTGTTTATGAACTTTTATTTAATGGATTCATACCATATGTACTCATTTGTGATTGGCTTCTTTCACTCAACATTCTTGGTGACATTCCTCCATGTTCATAATCTAATCCATCCATGCTCATGACTGTACAGCATTGCACTGTATGAAATAAAATTTATCTATTCTGTCGTTGATGGGCTTTGGATTGTGTTTGGAACTATTATGAATACCATTGCTTTGAACTTTCTAAAACATGTCTTTGATACCAATGTCTTCACATTTTTGTATGCTGGAGTCCTAGATTTTAAAAAATGCTGGATAATAGGTATGCATGTATTCAACTTTATTAGATATTGCCAAACAGTTTTCCAACAGGGTTGTTACAATTTATACTCCCACTAGCAGTGCATGAGAATTGTATTTGTCCTACATCTTTGCAAACAGTTGGCATTTTTCTCTTTTCATTTTAGTTATTCCAGTGGGTACACCACTGTTCTGCATTGGGATTTTTTTTTTCCAATGAGAAAATAACTATTTCATGTTGGGAAGTGGGCAGTAGGCCAGTCTCAGAACTTATGGAATTGCTTGCTGGTGTCGGGGTAAGTACTCTGAAGTGTACTGTCTTGCTCAGAGACTGGCACTCACCCATTGTGACAATGTCGCTCATCTGAAGCAGGGGGACCAGTGCACGGACATGTTCTTGTGGAGTTTCTTGTGGATGTAGTGGAGATAGTCCCTTAGATGACAACAGTCCTCTGTATCTTCATCTAGATCCCACGTCAGACAGGATCTACCCTTAGATGGAGACTTGAGGAGGGAAGGGCATTTCTTGTCAATATAGGTGTCTTCAATGTCCTCTTTGGGCATCATGAAGCCTAGACTGATGTTCTTGTAGTACTCTGGGAGATTCTCCTTGCCAGTTTCTCCCAGCAGGACCCTCTTTTTGTTTTTAAAGATGGTCAGCTGCTTTTGGTAGGCATGTTCCATCTGAACACCTGCAATCTTTCCAGCTGCTGGAAAAAGAGCAGCAGTGGTCCAGGTTTCCTTATCGACTGCCTGCATTGGGATTTAAGTTGCATTTCTTTGATATCTTTTCATAAGCTTAATGGCCATCCGAAGATAATTTCTTCTGCAGCATCAATTTAAGACTTTTGCATTTTTCTACTACATTGTCTGCCTTTTTCTTAGTAACTTGTAGGTACTCTTTATACATTTTGGACATAAGTCTTTTACCAGACACATGCACAGCAATGTCTTCTTTTACTCTATAGTTTGCTTTTTCATTCTCTTAATTTTGATAAACATAATTTCTTAATTTTAACATAGTCCTAATTATAAAGTTTTCCCTTTATGACACGCACTTTTTGGTTCCTACTTTAAAAATCATTACCAATAAAAATACATATGTATTGCTTATGTTTTCTTCTAAGAGCCTTATGCTTTTACCTTTTGCATTTAGAGCTGGAACCATCTGGAATTGATTTTTGTGTATGGCATGAGGTAAGAATCAAGATCCATTCTTTTTTTCCATATAGATGTCCAACTGACCTGGCACCACTTACTGAAAAGACATCCTTTACCCAATGCACTGTCACCTTTGTTGTTAATCAGTTGGTCATACATATAATGTAAAAGTAGTTTTTAAAAGGATTATATTTCTTTTCTATAGCACCTCTCCTTTGAAGATTTCCTTCTACCTGTTGAAAGTTAACCAGTTTTCATTAGGGAGATGCAAATCAAAACCATAGTAAGATTCCACTTGTACTCACTAGAATAACTATAATAAAAAAACATAAATAACAAATGTTGGTGAGATGTGGAGAAATTGCAACCCTCATTCGTTGCTGGGTTCATTGCTCAAATATAAAATGGTGCAGCCACTTCAAAAAACAATTTGGCAGCTCCTCAAAAAGGTAAACATGGGGTTACTGTATGACTTAGCAATTCCACCTCTATGTATATGCCCAAGAGAACTGAAAACACTTTCACACAAAAACTCGCACATGAATGTTTATAGCAACGCTATTTATTAATAGCCAAAAAGTAGAAACCCAAATGTCTATCAACTCGTGAATAAAGAGAATATGGTATGTCCATACAACGGACTATTACTCAACAATAAAATGGAATGAAGTAATGACACATGCTACAACATGGATGAACACTGAAACATTACACTAAGTGAAATAAGTCAATCACAAAAACCTACATATTGTATGATTCCATTTAAATTAAATGTCCGGCATAGGCAAATCTATAGAGACAGAAAGTAGATTGGTGGTTGGCTAAAGCTGCTGTGGTGAGTGGGGTTATAGGGAGTGACTGAATGGGCACAGGGGTTTCTTTTCGGAGTGATGAAAATCTAAACTTTTTGTTACGATGGTTGCACAACTCTGTGAATATCCTAAAAACCACTGAATTGTATCCTTTAAATGGTGATTTTTATGGTATGTCAATGCAAATTACATCTGAAAGATGTTTTTTTTGAGACAGGGTCTTGCTCTATCACTCAGGCTAGAGTGTAGTGATGTCATCATAGCTCACTCCAACCTCAAACAATCCTCTTGCCTCAGACTCCTAAGTAGCTGGGAGTACAGGCCTGCACCACCATGCCCAGGTAATATTTCTATTGTTTGTAGAGATGGGGGTCTTACTATGTTGCCCACTCTGGTCTCAAACTTCTGGCCTCAGGCAATCCTCCCACCTCAGCCTCTCAGAGTTCTGGGATTACAGATGTGAGCCACTGTGCCCATTATCAAAGATGTTTAGAAGTCAGTCAATTTAATAATTCATCACTGTGATCATAAAAGATGAAACTGTAATCATCTTTTCTAATTAGTATAATTCCATATTTTCTATAATACACATGGGCCAGGAACTATTCCAACTTTTTCTTGTAAAACAAAAGAAAATGCAGAGTTTGTGCAGAGGTAATATGTTGGTAAGAAGATAACTTAGCACAAGCTTTGTGGAAAGCAATTCAGCATATATACCAAGAATCCAAAAATGTTAATCCAATTTTGTATCTATTTTTATTATCTCAACTACATAAACAAAAATCAAAGAAAAACAAAAAAAGCCATAAAGTAAGAATGGTAGAAAAATTACTAAAATATTAATAGTGGTGTTTTGGGGTGGTAGAGTTATAGAGAATATTTATTTTCTTCTTTCTGCTTTTTCATATCTCAAATTTCCTACAGAGCACAATAAAATAAACATTTTCAAATGGCTGGAGAACTATTCATAATACAGTTAAAGTAAAAGGAGTCAGCAGGGTGCAATATTTTAAGATGCATTATGGCTATGACATTTATGAAATAAATCTTAAAATCTGAACTCCTTTGGCAATAACTTAAAAAAATCTCTAATACAAAGGTGAACGGCGATGAATTTTACTTTATTAAAAAAACAGCAATAGTGAGTACTAGTATTTGTACTGGCAATATGGTTTATTGGGAAAATACAGGTGTTTACTGCAACTGTGGACCATTTAGGTGAGACAAGTCACTAGACATATAAAGTATAAAGGACAATGCTAAATAGCTGCATTTTAAAAGGAACTGTTTAATTTTGTTCACACGGTATTTGATTAACAAGCAAACAATATTACATGTGACGTGAAAGCACGTCATATATAAATTAGTGTATACACTACGAACTCAATTTGTCAACTTAGACTTTTTTCATAAGTGCCGCTGTTTTTCTTCGCAACATAACAGTGCTACTTTCCTTACTTGAGAAGAGCAATGTGGTTGTACAGGGAACTAAAAACAGACACAACGGCACACTTGAGGGGCCCTAAGAATAAATCATAAAAGGTGACACTCGCACTTCCCAGAGCTATGTTAACGACAAACGTGGAGCATTTGGATACGCGCACCACCCCAGCCGGTACCTGCTCTGAAGCCCTTCTCACCACGGTCCGTCAATACCCACTCCGCGAAGTCCCTTCATTTCCCCCAGCTGCCCTTCCGGCCCGCCGCGCCTGAGGGACCCACGCAGCGCGCCCAGGCCCGCCAGCCTAACTCACCGCTTTCCTCTCTGTCCAGCGCTCGCTGCAGCCGGGCCGTCTCGCAGTCTAGGGTGCTGGCCAGACACCGCAGCTTCCCGCAGAAGCTCCGGATCGGGTCCATGGGTGAGCACAGCGGGGCCGGACTCCAGGTACCAGCAGACCAAACCGCACGCTTCAGACCCTCCCGCCACTAATTTGAATCTCTCCGCGTCCGGGTGTCTTCAGTTCTGCGCAGGCGCTCGAAGTCCTCTCGCGAGAGAACGAAGTCTCGCGGAGGGTCTCCAGTAGGCCTCGCAAGGCGCGTGCGTTCCGGGTACAGCGTCGGCTCGGGGACTAGGGGCCGCGGACTCCTGCGGAACGGGCTGGTGAGTTGCTGGACCTGTTCGGTGTTCTAGGAGGCCTCTCCGCCTGTCGGCCTTAGCTGGGCTCCCCACTTCCTTGGGAGGGAAGCATTGCGCGTTCTCGGGGATGCCCGTAGGCGCCGGGAGGAGGATGGCGCGTAAGCGGGATCGCGCGCTGGCTGCTCGCTCTCCTTGCCTGGCCGTCCCCAGTCGCGTCTCCGACTTCTTGCCCCTCTGCTCGCAGGCACCATGTTCCTGACCGCCCTCCTCCGCCGTAACCGCATACCTGGCAGGCAGTGGATCGGGAAGCACCGGCGGCCGCGGTTCGTGTCGTTGCGAGCGAAGCAGAACATGATCCGGCGCCTGGAGATCGAGGCGGAGAACCACTACTGGCTGAGCATGCCCTACCTGACCGCCGAGCAGGAGTACGGCCACGCCGCGGTGCGCAGGGCGGAGGCCTTCGAGGCCATCAAGGCGGCCGCCACTTCCAAGTTCCCCCCGCACAGATTTGCTGTAGACCAGCTCAACCATCTCAATGTCACCAAGAAATGGTCCTAACCCTGAGCCGTCACCCCTCGAGTTTATAGATCACGGGGGGGCTGCCCTGTCTTTACCTGCTCCCGGAACCGAAAAACTAGTTCCTATAAAAATGTGAGCCGTTGGACCAGTTTTATTAAAACAAACTTGAGCATGGTGGGCTGCATATCGAATATCTCGGCTCTAAACTCCCTAATACCTAGAAGTCTAATCACTGTCTTATTTCTTGGATAGGAAGGATAGGGATTTCCTGAGTCACAGATGATGGAAAATGTATTTTGAACGAAAACTGCAATAAAGCTACGAACCGTGATTTGGGGTCTTTGCTTAAGTATAAGATACTTGATGGGGGTTTTATGATGGAACTTTAGTTTACTTACCTTCCGTGAAGGATAATTGCCTAAACTTAAATGTAAATAGCCTTTTCAGTTGAACATACTCCTATAAATCACATTTTCTTCTGGGATTTCACTACTAAAAGTGGACATTTAAGTGAAGTAAAAGATATTTAGCTGAAGGTGTATCTTTTAAAAAACAGATTTTTGGCAGGGTGCAGTGGTGCCTGCCTGTAGTCCCAGGCAGAGGAAGGGGAGGATCACTTGAGTTCAGGAGTTGGGAGTCCAGCCTGGGCAACATAGCAAGACCCCGTCTCTTAAAATACATATAAATAAATATAGCTTTTTAAAAATATACCATGTAATTCACCAG